AATCAGTCATTGCTTTTGAATTGTGGTTCAACAGAAGCATTTAAAAAAAAAAACTAATGAAACTGGCCTGGAGAAAAATGAAGGTACCCTTAACTTAATATTTTGTTGCACAACCTTTTGAGGCAATCACTGCAATCAAGCAATTTCTGTAACTCCCAATGAGACTCCTGCACCTGCTGACAGGTATTTTGGCCCACTCCTCGTGAGCAAACTGCTCCAGCTGTCTCGGGTTTGAAGGAGGCCTTCTTAAGACTGCATGTTTCAGCTCTTTCCACAGATGTTCAATAGGATTTAGATCAGGGCTCATAGAAGGTCACTTCAGAACAGTCCATTGTTTTCTTCTTAGCCATTCTTGGGTGTTTTTAGCTGTGTGTTTTGGGTCATTATCCTGTTGAAGGACCCCTGACCTGCAACTGAGGCCAAGCTTTCTGGCACTGGGCAGCACATTTCGCTCCAGAATGCCTTGATAGTCTTGAGATTTCATTGTACCCTGCACAGATTCAAGACACCCTGTGCCAGATACAGCAAAGCAGCCCCAGAACATAACTGAGCCTCCTCCATGTTTCACAGTAGGTACAGTGTTCTTTTCTTTGTATGCTTCATTTGTGCGTCTGTGAACATAGAGCTCATGTGATTTGCCAAACAGTTCCAGTTTTGTCTCATCTGTCCAAAGGACATTCTCCCAGAAGCTTTTTGTCTGGTCAATTTGCATTTTGGCAAATTCCAGTCTCGCTTTTTTATGATTTGCTTTGAACAGTGGAGTCCTCCTCGGTCGTCTTCCATGAAGTCCACTGTGGCTCAAACAGCAGGAGATGGTGTGATCTGACACTGATGTACCTTGACCTTGGAGTTCACCTCTAATCTCTTTGGAAGTTGTTCTGGGCTCTTTGGTTACCATTCACATTATCTGTCTCTTCAATTTGTCATCAATTTTCCTCTTGCTGCCACGTCCAGGGAGGTTGGCTACAGTCCCATGGACCTTAAACTTCTGAATAATATGTGCAACTGTAGTCACAGGAACATCAGACTGCTTGGAGATGGTCTTATAGCCTTTACCTTTAACAAGTTTGCTATAATTTTCTTTCTAATCTCCTGACACAACTCTCTCCTTAGCTTTCTGTGGTCCATGTTCAGTGTGGTACACACCATGATACCAAACAGCACAGTGACTACTTTTCACCCTCTAAATAGGCAGACTGACTGATTACAAGTTTGAAAACACCTGTGATGCTGCTAATTAGAGGACACACTTTAGTTTAACATGTCTCTATGGTCAAATTATTTTCAATCCTTTCTAGGGGTACCATCATTTTTGTCCAGGACACTTTCATTAGTTTGTTTTTTAAAATGTTTCTGTTGAACCAAAATTCAAAAGCAATGACTGATTTTCATTAGTTAATTTTTATTTATTATTACCTTTGTCAGTTTCGCATTATTTCAGTGACCATTGTGAGTTTCTTTTTAATAGAAGGGTACCAACATTTTTGTCCACATCTGTATATCTTCTAAGAACTTTGGAATTATATTTGAAATGCTTCTCTGTGTTAGTAACCTTAAAAGCAGCAACAAAAACCACTTAAAACTTTTTAACAATTAATATTTTAATTTTTTAGTAAAAATTGTAAAACTTTATTAAAAAGGTTGTGGTGACAGGGAATTGTGCATTCACCAGACTGTTCATTGTTATAGCGTAGACAGGATTATTGTGGAAAAGGACTGAAGAGTTGAGGCTTATCCCTGCCTTGTGGATGCGTTTAATATTTAATTTCAGGTACATTAGAACTGGTAGTGCATTACAGTACTACAGTAACAAAACTTAAAGTCTGTGTTTACTGGTGAGAAAGTCTGTTTCCCCATGTAACAGTTCATAAATTCTGCTTGTTGGAGCTTAAACATTACCTAGGAAATAAACACATTCCCAAAAATTGTGAAAAGATCACTGAAATGCATGAACATGCAAGAAGGTACTGCAAAATTATATTTAAAGATTTCCTCTTAGTTTACATGCACTGAAATTAACTATCCAGAAATGAAAGGGCACAAACACTCCATAATATCTCTAATAATGTTAAATATCAATCTTAAAATATACATATAAATAAAACAACAAATGTACATACATTCTCTGTGGCATTTTACATTTGCATTTACACTATAGTCATTGAACAGAACATTTTTTGAAAATTTACCAATCATTTTGAGCCCTTTTATGCATGTTGTACCATAATGTCTTTTTTTGTTTTTGGTAGAGGCAAGTAATATTTAAAACGTAGTTAAATGGGTGGCTAAACTATATTAAAGTCATTCAAGACATTGTCACAATTCACTCTGACATCTTCTGTCTAGTTAGCGAGCTGTAATTATACCTTTAGTTATCTACACATAACATGGCCATAAGTATTTTCAGTATAGGCATTACTCCATGTTTTTTATCAGTCCATAATTAAACATTTCTTGCAACAATCCATAAACATATAAACATGCACAAAATATATCTGTCCACAGCTACGTAAACATATTTTCATGTGCTTTGGCTTTGTTGAGCATTTTTATTTTTGGTTTTGTTGTTTGTTGCTGTTTGTCAAGCAGAGTTTTCCCTCTGCTTTGTTTAATCAGAGTGATTCATAAGGGACCTGACAAGTCCTTTGGTCTAATCATCATTGTAGTGGACTTCAGCGAGTAGCCTGAGCCTTTCCAGTAGTACCATTTGATTCCGTTGAAGCGATTTGAGTTTTGGCCTTGTTGGTAATACATCCCATTCAGATTGGAGGGACCACAGGCATCAAACCACCAACCTGGACCATCAAAACAAAGATAATCAGGTTAAATATAATGCTGTCAAAGATGACAGTCCATACAACACTGTATATTTTATATTTTACTGAATTAAATGTCACAGTAAAATTGTTGCTGCTTTTGTGAGGTGATGGATTGTCACTTATTGCTGACACACACACCCTGTTTTGTTTTAGGTCTTCATGGCACTTGACATACTGTATGTAGTTCATAGAAACAGCATATACAGTCTTATGCAAAAGTTTAGGCACCCCTTGATAAATAACAGATTTTGGTGATTTTTTATTTGAACAGTGCCATAATAATGTTTTTATTTTTTATTTTTGTTCAATTTATGGCATAAGAAGTAACTATGCATCACTGTTTGCTGAAAATATTGTGCATTTTTTTCATTTCCAAGAGAAACTGTGTTAACATCTGTTCAAATAAAAAATCACCAAAATCTGTTATTTATCAAGGGGTGCCTAAACTTTTGCATAAGACTGTATATCTGTAAACAGCATTAAAGAAATCCTGAAGGCCTGATCTTTCAGGTAAAATTTATAATGGCCCATAAGATGGTTTTACATACTGTAATTGGACACTGTCACTAAGTTGCAAATTTATTAGGTCCACCTAAATAATTGGCTGTAATTCAATATGGCCCTTCCTTTGTACAGCCTATTGTCAAATCTGGATACCTGTATTACCCATAGTGCAAATAAGCCATTGACATTTTGGCTGGATATTAGTGTGTATCATGCCAACAGTGGGTGTTATAACCTAATATAACAGCTAATATCAAGTGGAGATGAGGCCTGGGCTACAGAGATCTTTTATATGTATAAGTTGCTTCTAACTTCGTGCATAATGCCTACAATGGTTGGACAAAAATTACAAGATAACATCCACATAAGATCTACAACACCAAAGTATGATCTGGATCCAAGTAATATTCCGGATCTGCTGATCCAGAATGTTCAAATCTATAGGGTTCATGGAAAACATGCCACTGTGAGATGACAAATAATGCTACAGATGTGCAAATAAGGAGAACTCTGCTGATTCAGAAGAATGTCAGTAGATTTGACATTTCTTCAAATGTTACTGAACTAGATCCTGAAGAACACAGCCATTATTGAAATATTGTTTTTCTTGTATAACTTTCAAACTAATAATTATCTCAGTGTGATTCCTAGTGCTAGGGGTAGGTTTTCATAGTCAGTGAATCATATTTTGAAGGTCAAACTATCGTGGGAATAATGATTTTAGGTTTAATGGCATTGAACTGAGCTGTCTTGGTGGAGGTGTGATCTGAGTGCTGTCCAGTTTATAAAAATGTTTCTTACCTCCTGTTGTCAGTTGTGAACATTTGCAAACACATTTATCATTGTCTGCATCCTTTGTACTGAAATCACTTCCTGGCTCCCCGATGCTGGTTATTTTGCCTGCTGTTCCACTGTAGCCTTTAAGGTGTATCCTGTAGAATGGGAAAGGAAAAATGGAGGAAGGGGAGGAGGAAGTCCATGACTACAGTTCCTCAAAAGGCAACATCCAGTTCACTTAGACCATAGCTTCACTGCTGTTGGATCTAAAATGAGCATTGGCAAAAGGATTAAAGTAGGAGCTACGCATATTTGCGTTTCAGTTTCACTCGCTTAGTTGTTGTTTTCTCTGCTGTTTGTGAATTTAAAACACTCTTGGCAATTCTTATATTTCCTGATGAGCCAACTAACTGAAGACCAGATTGGCCATAGTCAAATAGACATGTAGGACCCAAATAGAACTGTGTTGAAATGAAGCATTTCAAGGTGGTCTGTTTGTTAAATTCAGAGAAAGTAGCCTTTCCACTCATAAAATCAGCTTAGGTTTGGAAAGGAAATATTTCTGAATGTTGTGTTATTGCCAAGAGGTGCATACTAAATGTTAGACATCTTATGTATTTCCTATTTTTCAAATACTGACCAGTTTTATTACATTATCTTTGGGCTGATGCCAGTACAACATTGTCAACATGTATAATGGGTACGGAAAGTATTCAGACCCCCTTAAATTTTTCACTCTTTGTTATATTGCAGCCATATGCTAAAATCATTTAAGTTCATTTTTTTCCTCATTAATGTACACACAGCACCCCATATTGACAGAAAAACACAGAATTTGACATTTTTGCAGCTTTATTAAAAAAGAAAAACTGAAATATCACATGGTCATAAGTATTCAGACCCTTTGCTCAGTATTTAGTAGAAGCACCCTTTTGAGCTAATACAGCCATGAGTCTTTTTGGGAATGATGCAACAAGTTTTTCACACCTGCATTTGGGGATCCTCTGCCATTCCTCCTTGCAGATCCTCTCCAGTTCTGTCAGGTTGGATGGCAAACGTGGGTGGCCAGCCATTTTCAGGTCTCTCCAGAGATGCTCAATGGGGTTTAAGTCAGGGCTCTGGCTGGACCATTCAAGAACAGTCACGGAGTTATTGTGAAGCCGCTCCTTCGTTATTTTAGCTGTGTGCTTAGGGTCATTGTCTTGTTGGAAGGTGAACCTTCGGCCCAGTCTGAGGTCCTGAGCACTCTGGAGAAGGTTTTCGTCCAGGATATCCCTGTACTTGGCCGCATTCACCCTTCCCTCGATTGCAACCAGTCGTCCGGTCCCTGCAGCTGAAAAACACCCCCATAGCATGATGCTGCCACCACCATGCTTCACTGTTGGGACTGTATTGGACAGATGATGAGCAGTGCCTGGTTTTCTCCACACATACCGCTTAGAATTAAGGCCAAAAAGTTCTATCTTGGTCTCATCAGACCAAAGAATCTTATTTCTCACCATCTTGGAGTCCTTCAGGTGTTTTTTAGCAAACTCCATGCAGGCTTTCATGTGTCTTGCACTGAGGAGAGGCTTCCGTCGGGCCACTCTGCCATAAAGCCCCGACTGGTGGAGGGCTGCAGTGATGGTTGACTTTCTACAACTTTCTCCCATCTCCCGACTGCATCTCTGGAGCTCAGCCACAGTCATCTTTGGGTTCTTCTGTACCTCTCTCACCAAGGCTCTTCTCCCCCGATAGCTCAGTTTGGCCAGACGGCCAGCCCTAGGAAGGGTTCTGGTCGTCCCAAACGTCTTCCATTTAAGGATTATGGAGGCCACTGTGCTCTTAGGAACCTTAAGTGCAGCAGAAATTTTTTTTGTAACCTTGGCCAGATCTGTGCCTTGCCACAATTCTGTCTCTGAGCAATGGCCCAGCCAGAGCCCTGGCTTAAACCCAATTTAGCATCTCTGGAGAGACCTGAAAATGTCAACCAATGTTTACCATCCAACCTGACAGAACTGGAGAGGATCTGCAAGGAGGAATGGCAGAGTATCCCCAAATGCAGGTGTGAAAAACTTGTTGCATCATTCCTAAAAAGACTCATGGCTGTATTAGCTCAACAGGGTGCTTCTACTAAATACTGAGCAAAGGGTCTGAATACTTATGACCATGTGATATTTCAGTTTTTCTTTTTTAATAAATCTGCAAAAATGTCAAACATTCTGTGTTTTTCTGTCAATATGGGGTGCTGTGTGTACATTAATGAGGAAAAAAATGAACTTAAATGATTTTAGCATATGGCTGCAATATAACAAAGAGTGAAAAATTTAAGGGGGTCTGAATACTTTCCGTACCCACTGTATATAGTCTTCTACAGCAAGAACCACAGTAGTCAGCATTTTATGAAAAGCAGTTTTCAGGGATAAATAAATGTATGATATACGATCCAGGGACAGTCTGCACACAGTTTGACACTAAATATAGAAAATTGTATAATCCAGCCTTCCTGCTCGTTAGGGCTTGAAATTAACTGCCAGAGCTAATTCCGTGGAAATTCACCACATGAACCTCCAGTGTGGCCGTTAATGTGGTCTCATGTTCACTGTCAGTGACATAATTATAGTGAATTAGCCCAATAATTACGCTGATGCATTTCAGTCAAGTTTTTCACTATTGACTTGCTTAAAATGCTGATGCAGATGTCAAACTGTTGTATGATAAAATAACTCTTTCAGCTTTGGGAAGATATTCATGTGTGCAATAGATTACAAATACACTACACTACATGTGAAAACATGGTGCTTTAGAAATTACTGCACCTTTTTTTTTCTGGGAGGACTACAGCTCCTGAATGTTGCCACAAACAGATGTTAATTTCTTCATAATAATTGCAAGGCTTTTAATTTTCAGGCCACACTTTAGTTACGCTCCTTGCCTGAAAACTAGCAACAATTTTAGATGTTCAGGATTACAAACTTGAAAAGCACTGCTGTAAGGCAAAAGCATTATTATTTGCCGATGGGCCTCTTTGTCCTTAATAACTTGAGCTACATGAGCTGTAAAATTTTGACTCAAAGCAAAAATTTAACAAAAGATTCAGTAATTACCAAGCATCCAACACACTTATTACTTAGGGAAATGTTCTTTGATGTAGTCAGTGCAACATACCTGTAATTTTGTGCTTCACTATCAAGAGAAAACTGCTCATATTGTGAGAATCCAGAGTTTCCTTCCCAGTCACTCAGCTGGATCCTTAGTTTGTAGGATTGTTGATTTGTCAGTCTGGAGACAAATTCATTTCCTAACCAGAATTCACCTGAAGGTTCTCCAAACCCCTAAAAACACACAGAAATGTTATTAAAGCTTATTGAACTCTCCTAGGGATATGTAGATTGCTTTTTCTATTAACAATAGACAGAGGCTCACCTTCTACTGTTCATTTCTTGGCTTCACATTCACAATTTGGTACTAACAACGTATGCCAGCTTTTATTGTAAAGCAATGAAATGAAGCATTTCTCTGCTATGATCATTTAGGTTATGTGTTTTAGTGGCTGTAGTTTGTCTCTTCTTATTTGTTTGGCATCTATCTCAGTAACCAGGACCTTAAAACACCCGATGACCAAAACCAAATCTGGCCACTGCCTTGTGCATTTGGAATGAAGACTGTAGCCTGGGTTATATTTTGTAAAGGAAGGGAATTTCTTCTTGATAGCTTTTACCTTTTTGTACTCTTGCCACGTACGATGAAAGTCCACATGTCCGTCGAAGCGTTTTTGCAGAACTGTCCAGCCACCTCCTTCTGTCTCCATGTCACAGAAAGCCTTCATACACAAGAGAAAACAGACTTGATGTACTTAATGATTCAAAATGAATGTTCTGTGAAGAATTCATCCTCATTTTTAATTTGGCAGTGTTGTCTCATTTGAGATTTTGGTTAAAACAAATATCAAGTTGCAGAGAAAGCAAACAAAACTGAAGTCCAAGTTTTAAGTGCTGAAAAGTATCTAGGGAGATCACAGTTTTAGCTCAAGCATGCACATCATTAATGGAAGTCTGAGAACATTTTAATTTGACTCCCCTCCCCTCAAACAAATGCTGTTTACTGAACTCTTCATCCAGTAGTGTGCAGTGTTTTATTTACTAGGTTGTGTAAATGTGGGTAGCTCAGTGCATGTCTGTGTGCATGTGCATTGTCATGGCATTATTTAATATGTGCAGACACACACAAATATGCTGAGCGGTCCTTCATGATCCAGCAAGACAAGTCCTCTTCTTTATTACCATGTTGTTTAACTTCCTAAGTTTTTTTTTTATTTCTGCTTTATCTGATCTGGCTATGCTACTTGCCTAGAGATAAGAGAGTCTAAAAACTTATCAGCTTTACTTTACCTTAACCTCTGTTGTAGTGTTGGGTAATGTGAGCGTGTAGACTCCACTTTGGGTGTGTCCTGACTTGTAGACAGCAGCACAGTCAACGAATGTGGTAGGAGTGTCCTGCATCATGACAGTTTTGGTCTCTGCAGAGGAAATCAGCCTTGTTAATTTGACAGCACACAATTGCACAACATTTAAAGTCATATTCATTCATTTAGTGTCGCTCTGACTGCTGCAGAAAGGTGTGTTCTTTGGGCGCTCAAGTGTAACAGCACCAGTTTAGTGCCGCCTCTGAATGTGGCCAAAGTCACTGTTACATCCAACCGCTAAATGTAAGGCTACAGTCAGCAGATGTTTAACTTTGTTTATTGTTAAGACTGGAAATGAAGAAACAACTAGCCTGGCTCTGTCCATAGGTAAAACTATCTGCTTAACACCAGTGGATATATTGTATCTTGGCTCCTAGCAGTTGGCAGGCAAGCGGGCTGGAAACTTCCATAAGTTACTTATCACATAACCCCTGTAAAACAATTTTTACATTATTATATTTTTATATCTTACATCTTTCAGCTGACTCACCCTGAGCTGAGCTGGCAGAGATGGCGTGAATGAGGTTGTTCACAGTGTCCAGCAGCTCCTGCTGCTGATGTTGCAGGACAGTGTTGTTAGAGGAGACTTTAAGCAGCTGCTGCTCCAGCTCACCTATGATGGCAGTTTGCCTTAGTATTAGAGTCTGGAGCTGCTCCTTTTCTTCTTGAAGCATCTTAAGCTCCACCTGCCTTTGTTCCTCCATCTCCTCCACCTTTTTCTCCAGGAAGCTAAGGAGAAGCAGGCTACAAGTTCAGCGTTTGTCTTTGCTTGGGACAGTGGCCCACTGCTGTACTGCTAGTGACCCTGAAAATGTTTTGCCATATGCTTTTATGTTCTCACCTGTTCTTGTCATTCAGCTTGCTGATTTCATTAGTTTGGACAATTAGTTGTTTTTCCAATTTGTTGGTTGACAAGGAGTTTTCAAGAAGCTGGCGTTCAAGTCGAGTTGTATGATGAATTACCTATATATAAAAGAATAAGCAGTTCAGTTAAGCTCTGCCCAGAGATAGCTTCCATACGAACCCTTTAATGTGTGTGTGTAGGTTTTTATATGTCGGTACTATGATGTAAACCCTTTTAATCATTTTCAAGTCAAATTCTTTACATTAGTCTCAAGAACCTTCAGTAATGCAGTTTCCTTCATATGACACAGCCTGGTCCCAAGTTTAACTCACAACTGGAAACATGATATATTCTAGTGAAATATTCTTATACTACAACAGAAAAATATTTTCATTTTTAAAAAACTTAATGTTTCATATATTTTGCAAATTAAAACACATCTAAGCAATTTTGAAAAAAGTTTTACAAAATGTAACATAAGCTAGAAAACAAGCAATAAATGTGTATATAACAATATTAATGACAATCCCAAAAATGTTTGGCTGACATTTTGTCCTTTACTGCATTTGTGTTCCAGCTTCAACAACAGTTTGCACATTTTCCAGAATGAACAAGCAGCCATTTCCAAAATGAAAAAGCATGACAGGAAAGATCAACTCGATTCCAATACAGCAGACGTACCTGAACAAAGGAAAACATTCAAAATCAACATATTTTCACAGACAGATGTATTGAACCAAACTTTAGGGTTGGGGACCTTGCCTCTGATTTCCCATTGTGGAGGAACTGAACTCAGCAAAAAGCAGGTTGTTTACATGGATCCTAGCTATGTCTCTCCATTGGAGCTGTTGATGTCTTTGAACAGACGGATGTCTGATTGTGACAAACTGATAGACCCTTTCTGTGGGAATACGAGTGTGCTAATAACAGGAAATGCTGTACAGTTGGCTCACATAAGGTCACTGACGTGTAGCCACAATAATAAACTGACGCAGTCCTGCCTGTTTTTCCCCTCCGATTATTTTTTTAACACTCTGAAACTACATTATTTAATGCAGTGTTTCACAGAGCATGCTGTTCAACAAAGACATTATTCTTTCCATAAATCTGTTGTGTTTATATCCAGACGGGGTTAAACCGTTTTGACAGTTTTAACTTTTGTTTACATAGTAAGATTGTACTTTTATACATGTTATACCTCTGTGTGTCTGTGTGTGTGTGTGTGTGTGATGGGGGGGAGAGAAAACATATAGCCTCACCTGTGCCTCGACATTGGTCAGTTTCCTTGTTTGCTCAGCGGTTTGACTCAGCAGGTTTGTTCCGATTTCAATCATTGTAGCAGTGTGGTTGTGTACAGCAGTCTGTTGGATTTGGACCATGTCCTGCTTCATGCTTTCCTGTATGTAGTTCTCTAACTGCAGCACAGAAGAAAGACAATTATCTTTACACAGTGGGTATGTTGTGGATGTGCAGTCCTGCATTACATTCATACAGTAATTCACAGATTAACAGCTGCTCACTGCAGTCTGTAATACTGGACCCAGCAGCTGCCTTTGCTTCAGTTCTAGAACAACCTCGTTTGTAGTTAATGAGAGAGTACTCATTGTCATTAGTTCTTTTTTTCGTGTTCAGATTAACCTTGTTGGTTCAGGGGCTAATGTTGAGTTGAATGTTCATTATGCATTCATTGGAGTAAAATTAAAGTCATCCGTACGGACTCATTGTCGTGCTATCACTGAAATATTGATAGTAACGTAATGTTATGATTACCCATATACTTTGTGTTATTAGAAGAGAGTGAGAAGTCATGCTTACAGGGATTTTGATAATTTATTATATTGAAACTTAAACACTTCTCTTGACAGCACATAGTAGAAAGTTAGTATTTTTTATTGTTGCATTATTTTATCCCTCCTTATATACAGTAGCCTTAAAACCTGTGATCATATTGGACTATTTCACTGTTTTAAGGACTGCAGAGGTCTTTCCAAAATATCCTGGCAGTGAAATGTGTATTACTTTGTCTATGTTATACATTAACTCATAATATGCTTTTAACAACTATTTTGGAAACAGGGTGATGGTACTGAACCAGAATGAAACCATAAAGCACCATTGTCACATTATTTAAGGTGAACCTAAAAGAATTGTTACCTAACAACAACCTAACTATTTTAAACTTTTACATTATGTACTGTCACATATCCTGGCTTCACCAGGCTAGTCATTTATATGTGACTGTTTGTCCTGAAGGCTAAAACGTGGGGACCGTTTCCTAGCAAAGTAATGAAAAAATAAATGAATAACCTCTATCAAATTGCTATAAAACACTTAGAGGTCTGATGTAACCTTGCCCATCTCAAATCGCTTGGTTACAGGAATAATACAGTGCCTTGGTACATAGATGCCACCGGGAAGAAGGGGCTTAATGTTTAACCTTTACAAGATTTGTTCTTATCTACCTTATAGTATTGCCAGATTTAGAGACCAATCATAAGTTATTTCCTGCATGGTGTTCCTGAGTGGCAATCAGGTCACAAGACTTGTAAACAGGATGGAAGTGTTGAGTGAGGAAGTTACATCCTTCATGACTTGTGCACAGCTGGAAACCGGCATCAGTTGAATCTGTTTGCCATCTACACTAAGTTTGCCTAATTACTTTTGTTATTTACTAATCAGTCAGTAATGTAATCTCAAACAGTTCAATATATTATTATTATTATTTATTTAATGAACAGCTGCAATTAGTGCTGATTTTGTCTGTCTTCCTTTCTGGGTGTCCAGTTGTTTATGTTCTTGGATACAAACGGAGATGTGAGGAAGGTTGTCATTTGAATTGTTGGCGGGGTGCCCCATTGACAATACATGATCTTATCAGTTGTTTATGCTGGCTGCCGCAAAGGCGTCAGTAAAGAATGACTGTTCTTCATTCACATAAGAGCATGACACCAAATTGTTTTCTTCAGTTGTCATTAGCTGGTGCAGCATAAATGAATTAAGAAATAAAGTGAGGATACCCTCTGATGATTTGAAACAGTAGTTTGAGAGCAACTTACATCCAGCAGTTTACTATCACAAGTCGAAATAAGTGCCCGGCTCTCAGTGGTGACTGCCATTACAAGTGGGACCAGCCACTGCTTAACCTGAGCAAATACAATGCAGATACTGTGTGTCAAGCCACATATCTGCTTTTTGCTTGGGTGATGACAGGGTTCAGGGATGCTTTGTGTTAAAGGTTGGTTAGGCTTAGAAAATGATGTTGCTTACTGTGGTGCTCTGAAGATTTATGATGGCATGGCCTGAGACCCCCCTCTTTGGGGCCAAATAATGGGTAAACATCATTTAACTTGTATACTCACCTTCCATATGAATGTTCTCCCATTCTTCGGCTCATTTAATTGTGTATTATTGACTGACTGAACAAACTGCATCTTTTTAGTTAGATTTATCAATTGCAAATTCAACTATCCCTTAAATAATCACAAATAATTTTGCATCTAAAGTAGTATAGAAAAACGTTCCTAAGGCAAGTAAGTGTGTTAGTAAGGGCTTGTGCCACCACTGCTCCCCTAGTCTGTCATTAGGTGTTTTGCTGATGGTTGTAGAGTATGTTCTGACACGTTGGCCCAGACTTTCCCATAGGTGTTTAGTGTGGGCTGAGATCTGGTGACTGTGCTGATTAGCGCACTTTTCAAACACATCCAACCATAGTGAGTGGAAGCACCTGCAGTCATTATAGTTTTCCACTACTACGCTTTTCAGCAGTAATAGAGGTGTGGCTTTATCGTTTTATTATTGTATTTTATTATATAGATTTCAGAAGTTGTGTAACACCTCACTTCTTCCCTGCTTCAGGCCTTGTGTTTGTTTCTTGCCCTCTGCGGTCACTATTGTTAAAATCATTATGGCACTTCTTCCACGCCCCAACTGATCCGAGGTTATACCAGTATGACTCAATTCAAAAGCAGACTGTGGAGGCTGCCTGTGCAGGTATAACCCAGGATGGGGGCAGACTAGTTAAGACCCAAGAGCCTGCATTCTGTAGCACAGAAAGAGCACGACAAATAACAAGGCAAAACCAGGGTTAACATTGGTTTGTCGTGTCGGAGATGGAGAGCTCTAAAAGCATCCAAAGGACTAAAATTTGAATCAGATGTGGCTTTCTTCCTGCTAGACGCACATGTACTGTAGCTGGTTAACGTATATGTCGGCATCATTAGCATGCTACCGTTGGCACTTCAGTTTTGTATCTCTGTATTGAATTGTTCAGGTTGTAATTTGCAGTCATTCCAACTGACTGCAACGTGTGTTTTATTGTCCAGTTAGTGGAAACCAATGTGTTTTCCTGAATTAGTAAATGAAGTGATTTTGGTCCAGTTTATGTCAGACATAACACTGCAGTCCATGTAGCATTTTAATGAGAAGTTATTAAAATTTCCACCATCAACACAACTAGAAACGTGGGGAGTTTGTTCAACTATCAAAGTGTGTAACATGAAATTTCTCATTTCACGCACAGCCTAGTTTACATGTGTCAAGTATGTAACGCTGCATGCGATGAAATAGTGGCTGGATTATTAATACTTTATCAACATTTCTGGGGAAAAATACTCCTTTGTATAATATGCTTGTGTTACTACAGATACATCTGCTACAAACATCGTTGGATATATGTATGCATATTAATGAAATGTAAACCTCTTTATTTAACATTGTTTTGCTGCAATACAGCTGAAAACCACGAGCTCATGGGCTCTATATTCCGAATACATTAGTTCTAGAGCTGGTTATTACTGCTGCACTACCTGACTGCCACAACTGTCTCCGGCTGTCATGGCCACATATGATGTAGTTTCAGAGACAGGACAGGAGGGGTGAAGAATGATGGAGGGACAAGAGGAGTGGATACTGCTTAAGTTTGTTTTGAGTCTCACTTCACCCTTAATGGTTGAAATTAGAGGGAGAAGTTAGTTAATGCAGCTTTTAATGGCCAACACACACTTGTACTGTTTGTCGGTGCTCTTAGATTTAATTAATAATGTAAAACGTCTTGAGTTCTTACAAATCAGTTCGATCCTTTATGGCAAAGTATCAGGTTAATTTTAGGAAGAAACATTTGTATTTTGAAATGTTTCCCATCATTCTTCACACATTAGCCCATATTTATTTTTTCCTTTGCAAATTCTTTAGGTGAATTCACACAGCAGAACAAGGAAATACTGTATGTTTCCTCCATTTCCACAGGCCAATAAAGTACTGCTAAATCTTTGGTGACATTAATCAACAATGATTCTTTCTGTGTAAGAAATATGTAACTTGGCACGATATCAGATATGCTGTTGGTCTTTATAAAACATTCACTTGTGTTTTGAAGGGGCTTTGACTTCTAAAGCAGCACTTGAGTTCTTGCCTGTGTGAGTGTAGTTACTCTGTGTCTGTCATGTAGAATATCCAAGGCAGGTGCCTCTGAGCTCTTCTGTGGGATAAATCAGTGTTTGTTTTGTTTCAAGACAGGAATTGTGTGACCAAGCTGTGAGTTGTTCTTGTATAGGTCACATTGAAGAGGATGAGGAGAGGGAGGGAGAAAAGAAGAAGTTCACTTGTAATGGCTGAGTAAACTAAAAAAGAAGTATGCATCCCTATGTGGACACCTGTGTTGAGTCTTCATCAGCACATTTTTGTGTTTGCTAAAATAGAATCCCAAAGAATCAGCCGATCTTTAAGAGAAACCAGCTCTGACATAACTCTTGTTCTTGTTAATGTAATGTTTTGCTCATTTAAACTGGTTTTGCCATGTCTTTTGTTGAGTTCACCAGTTTTATTTTGTAGTATTGATCAAACCTGTCTCATGTCAGTATGAGCTTGAATGAACTATCCATCACATCACATGAAAACAGATATCCTTGAATCCCTTCTGGATGTTTCCTGTTCCACCTGCAGAAGTGCATTAGATACTTTCACAAGGGCTTAGACAGAAATCTAGAAATCAACAATTCATCTAAGTTAGTTGTATAACCCATAATAGGTGTTTGTCTTTCTTTAAAATTGGCACAAACATTTGGAGTGGACATGAGAATCTCTTCACTGATACCTGTGTGGACACACTTTCAGCTGATCAGCACATTTTGTCCTCTTACACATCATAGCAGATACCTAAACAGACTTTGTTCTTACTTTCAAATCCCTCCACAATCCATCCACAGTCACTGATATCACAGTATTGATGTTATGACTTAGATATGACACAACTTTACCTTAAGCAGCCACTGTGTGTTGTTCTCCATGATGAGTTCCAGTTGTTCCAGCCTCTGAGCCGACTCGTCCATGGGTCCATCTTTTTGAAATGAATAATAGCTGCTGCTCTGCGTTTGGCAGTTTTCCTGCTCAGGCAGCAGAAAGGTGTAGCTACATGGCCCGTTCTGGATCTGAAATTGTCTCTTACCATCAATACTGTATCCTGTCTCCAGACCAAGACAGAAACTTAAAACCAGTAAGTTCACATTCAGCATCTTCATAGTTGAGCTTTTTAGCTAAAAAATAAAGTTAGTACAGTTATAACTCCTTGTATTTTCAGGTGTTCCTTAATCTTCTCTCAGTGACTGGACTTCTTTTCCCAACAACATCCAAGTGTTAACAGTTTTCTTGAGGGTCTGCAGATTCCTTTTATTATCTGCCAGTTGAAGGAGAACAAAAAGCATTCAGGAATTAGAAGTAGTGTGTCATTCCCTTGGGTCACTGGTGCCAGACTGCATGTGTTTGCCTTTCATCATGCCCCCAACCACTTGTTTGAGCTGCCTATGGCCCCTCTCATTAGCTAACTGTGAGTTTTAAACCACTCCCCCTTCACTGTGTCCGTGTCACTGTGACGAACACTGAACTGGAGATTCCTTTCAGTGCACAGTCACTGAACAACACAGAGGACCAGATGCACAAACCACACATCTTCCACTATATCCTCTACAATACCCAGGCGTTTTTTCTGCTGTAGTTCCAACACCTACTCAGGATGCAGCTGTCCAACTTCAGGACACACTGTTATAGTAGCTGGGTCTATCTCATTCATTGAAAAATGTTTCCCAGCCTACGACAAACACAGTAGCATCTTTGAACAGCACATTCAAAGGAAAAAAGCCTGCGTATTTTCCTCTTTGTTCTTTGAAGATGCTTGTTGAAATCAAATCTGCTAAACTTTGCTTAATCCATTTTAAGTTCATAATGTTCCACAACATTTTAAAACTCTGATCTTCCTTCAGGTCTCGGTCTTTACATTAGGTCTTAAAAGTCATTTTGTCTTGACACAGCCACATTTTAGTATCCACTGTGCCATATCCATTTTTTGTCAGGAAAGGCTTACATTTTCCCTCTGTAGTTTGATAGAAATTGTAGAATTGTAGGAAGTAGGCTGAGGTAATAGTTACTGTATAAGGGAAATGCAACATATTTAAGGCACATTACCAAAGAGGAAGGGCTTCTCGTCATTCCAGTAACACTGGCTTATTCATGTGTTCTGACTTTATCACTCAAACAGCAGATTCATTCACACCAGTTCTTCTATTTGAGTTTGTTTTATGGTTATTGAAAGCATAGGGGAAGGAAGAGATGAGCTTTTTTTATTATTATTAAATAGATGGCACTTCCAGGGGACATTCATTCATTTATCACTGTGCCATATCCTATGTATACCACACACAAGCCAGGCTATGATGATCTCCGCTTATTGTCCACGGGTCCATCCACAATTCTATGTCAGGTTGTTTTATTCTTTTTTGAAAGCACATGGGTGTGAAGGGACATGAACAGTAATTCAATTAAACAGGTGACGCTTCCAGGGGACACTCTTTGTTTAATTTATTACTGAGCCAATTCATGTGTATAACCACACACCAGACAGTTTTCCCATATGTGAGCAATCAATGTGACGTCTGCTGAGCTCTCAAGAATGCATTATATTTCATTATACAGGACTGTTAGGCTTAATTTATTCTTGCCTGGTGTTCATTATTATAGAGCTGCTCAAGCTGCTTATCTCTCTATCCACCCTCTCTGCACACCCACTGTGTGCAAGACAAATGTACATACGTGTACATTGAGTGGCGAGATATTGATTAGGTGGCCAGAATAAGACTATGTGGCATTTACCCATGTGAAGAATAAATACATTGTTGCTGGCACAGATAAATGCAACTCATCTAAGATGTAACAGTTTTGAGATTGTGAAAATGCTTCTTACTCTCTCTGGCCCATCTTTGAGCGATATGAGTAAAATTAGCACTCTGATGCCGTTGATGCAACAAACAGGCTGGTCCAGCTCGCTACTAGTTTACAGACTAATATTTTTAGTGCCACCTTAAGATGCAGACGTATAGTAGATGTGGGTCATGATAAATGTATCTTTAGTGCAGCAGTATTCAAGATAAGAAATGAAATTTACACAAATCCAAATTGCTGTTGGAACACATCACAACAAGTAAATTGTTTAATGACAATTAATGAAGAATTTGTCATTTACCTTCACAAATACTGACACATGCTTTACAGGTTCTCACATTTATTGAGCCACTTTTACAGACTTGTTAGGAGCAGTGTAAGATTGTTTGTGTGATATACAGTAACTCAATAATAAGCAAGTAGAATTGAGCTTTGTCTTCATTTCAACTCACTGAAAAACTTAAAATTGTATTCTTAGCAGGAGGATATGAATCACCACATGGATATGTACTTTTTGTGCCATTATATTCTTTAGCTCTCTTTCATGTTACCCTTTTGTGTTGGACTGTTATTCCAAGATTTAAAGCTTCTTTTCTCTCATAATAGACATTACATATAGCCTTCGTCATGCTCTTCAAAGTGTACAGTGTGTGTTAATGTTAACCTGACCCTCTCCTAAGCCTTCTGACCAGTCCCTGGTTATTGACGTAAAGTTAAACCTGTGTGAACGCTGTCAACAGACTAAAAGCCTTATAGCTGACCCTGTTGGATACAGACCAGGCCTGTAGTGAGAGTTCACCTGCTCAGAGCCGAAATGAAGAGTGCTAAATAGCTTGTTCGAAAATACTTAGTCTCTTAATGGTGAAAAATTAGTTTAGGTTTCACTGTCAGCAGTGACTAAGCAGAACTTCCTTGTCATAACAATTATAGACAATGAATGGAGTTGTTTACGCTGGATTTCATGGTACATTTAGTTTTCCAGGGGTGGTGCTCCAGGGTATGTTCTTCATGAATTTCACAGCCAGACTGTTGCAGCTTCTGCTGTATCACTCGCAGCCACCTTCAGGCCAGTTTCAGTACTGGATCAATGTTACTGTGACTTGCTTCGATGACTTGCAAATTAGGATGTTTGGGGTTACAGTGGATACTTCATTTATTTATTTAGAAATATGATGTGTTGTAAATGTGGCAGACTTTGGCAAAAGACATAATATCAACTTTGGCAGGTTGATATTATCCAGGTTGATCAGAGAAAACATGAAACATGAGACTAGTTTCCATTTTAAACCCTTATTAACTAGAACTACAGGAAAGAAAGGTTTCTTGAAAATCCAGACATACAGTGTATGCTGGGAAGTGTGCCAGTAACCTACCAATGTTCTAGAAAAAGTTTAATTTGATGAGTTTAATGAGTAATCAGCAACACATTTATTCAACTCATAGTTCACTGTAAGCCACACAACAACATGAAGTCGTACTGTAAGTTCTCTAAGGCCCCTGCATACTCATAGTCCACCCACACATGTTTTCACTTGTGTTGCCTGATTAGAGCTCTTCCCCAGGACCATATTTCCTACCATAACTTAGTCAAACTTTAACCTGACTAGATTGGTTTAACTGAGTCTGATTTCACTGAATGGATTATGAAACTTTAGAGTGGAAGCACCAGTCGTTAAACATTTGCTGTTACTTAACTGTAACTAGCTTCCAGGTAGAAAAAGAGAGATTGCTCTCAGGAAATCCACATTCAATAAATGATGTAAAAGGGAAAAAAGACATGTAACTGCTGGAAAACAAACAGATCCAGTGCCTTTAGTTTACATTAGGATTCTCCCACTGTGTCAAACTGTTCAGGCATAGGGCTGGGGTTAGCAGGCATATTCTGGAACATTATCAGTTTATATTAAAATTATCAGTTTATATTAAAATGCAGTTCTTCAGATGATCTTTGAAGGAAGCATGTTATCCTGTTGTCTCAGCTGGATCCATTTCTCCAACCAGAAAACAGTTCATTGTTCGCTTTTTAACTGAAAGCTACTCCTTCCAGATTTGTCGTCTCCAGAGGCACCTGTCTGCCGGGGAGCACCAGCAAGACCTGTTCCAAAACCAGCCTGCCATGTTTGTGTCCCAGCACTCCCAGCCGCCCACTCAGAGCTTGGTGGAGCTGATCCAGCTATGTGGAGGAACAATCTGCAAAACTGTGCGGCAGGCAGGTATCTGCATAGGGAAGTACAGTGGCAGGAGGCCAGAGGGATGCAGGATCCTGTCTGAACAGTGGGTGCTGGGTAAGATACTTTCTGCTGGTCTCTTTGCTAAATGATAAATTATTTTACCATTATCATTTATGGTTATTTCTCTGATTTGTTTTGTGATTTTATTTCAGATTGTATCACATATCTGAAGCAGCTGTCATACGATAAGTACGACTTGGAGTGAAAACTGAAACTTTGTTTGAACTGTGAAGTTTTTAATTTTATGCTGGTGGTGTCACTCATACCGTAACTTTCTACCTTACTTCTGTTGTGGAGGTTTGTCTTTGTCTTGCTTTGCAAATGTTTTCAGGGACTTTGCATAAATCCTCACAAATGATCTTGTTTCTTGTACTTTTGAGTGACCATGAAATCTCAATACTCCTTAGGACTACTGTGAAACTGCCATACTGAAAACTTGTCACTTTATGTTCATCCTTTTTAATCCCCCCCACAGTCAAACCACTACTGTATAACTGTGCTTTTCACAGGTCATGAGACTGAGCCAGACTGTTTTTCCGTTATATTTGTTGAGCAATACCAGCACTCTAATAGAGCTATCACACTGTATTACTGAAATGTTTCATTGTCATTTTAATAAATTCAAAAGTTTTGATTTTGATTTGTGGCTTTTTTATTTTATTTTATGTCAAATGAAGAGTTGTTTAAGAATCAAGGTCAATTCAACAGTTACACAGGAACAATTCACATTTTGATTGATCAGCATTGAACAACATATACACTATAACAAAACTAGTTGCTTTTTTGTGATGTACTTTTCAGTTTTACTGAAATTGAGTCATGAGATTGTGTGTTAAGCTGTCTAAAACGGTTTTCACAGTCATGGTATAATGAATGTATCACCCTTTTGTGAATTACAATTACAGTAACTTTGCCATTTCAACTAATGTTACTATTTTGAAATATTTACTATATTCAAGTTATGATGTATGATAGATACATAAAAAACAACAATAGAATGGAAAAACTACCAGACAACATATAACAGTACAGTGATGTGTCCAATAAATGAAGAAAATAGCTGTTGTTATTTAGTTTTTAGCTGTAACATCTAGCCTATTAGCCTTCTTGTTTTAGGGCCCAACGTTTGGAGCCAGTTCATTAGATTATTTTAAGTGCATAAGGCTCCATAAGATGAAATAATATTGAAAACGGTCAGATGAAGAAAAGCGGTATGCCCCTTTAATGACATGACCATATAGGATTCACGCATGTTGCACAGGTTAGTATTTGCTACGTCACTCGACCAATCAGCTTCGTCGATGTTACAGAGTGTTATGACGTAGGACGCATGTGTGACATTTGCTGCAAGAAGCTAAGTGAGCGAACAGCTAGACTGAAGAAGATGAACCGGAGAGAGAAATAGAAAATACTTTGTGTTTTAATAACTGAGCTGACGTTACGGTCAGGCTTTGCTCTCGTACACATTAGAGGGGAGAGTTTATATCAAATGTGGTGTTAGAAAAACTTTTTGTCTGCTAAGTAGTTGTCTGACGTTTTATCTGAACTTGTAATAAGTTAAACTGAATGTACGGAGTTCTGGTCGAGGTCGACTTGTTTTGTTTTTCTGAAAAACTGATATAAATCAGAAAACTGCAGTCAGTTAGCCGTTTTTATTGCACTATAGGTGGATGCCTTAAGCTGGCTTGACTCTGCGTTTTGCACACAAGGTTAAAATTAGCTTTAGCCATCTGACTCTTTGCAGCTGTATCACTTTCTTATGCTGACTTGTCTAGACAGGTGTGCTGAATGTAGGCCAGGTGTGATGTGAGCTAGTTAGGACACACTGTCTGTAACTTTATCACACTACCGGCAGAGTATAGTACCAAGTCCTAAAGTCTACTTCAGGGATTTTTTTGTTATTTTAGTCGAGTCTAAAGTGGGATCATGCTGCTCTCCTTGGTTGTGCACACATACTCGCTGAGGTACTGGTTTCCAGCCACGATCATGCTGGGGACAGCTCCAGTTTACCTGCTGGTATGGGGGGTTTGGCGCTTGCTTTCAACTGCCTTACCAGCTAGAGTCTATCACACGTTGGATGACCGACTATACTGCATCTACCAGAGTATGGTCCTCTTCTTCTTTGAACATTACACAGGAGTTGAGGTGAGTGGTCCTTCACATGCTTCAGGTAAACTTAATAAAATTCTTATTGTTAAAGACTCATGTTGATAGTGTGATCACCATCTGAGAATGAGTAATACCCATTAATATTTAGTCAGAAAATAGAGATATTGACAGGTACTGATCGATTAGTATTTCATGCGCAAGCTTTGTATTTCGTAAGGACTTTCAAAGTTACAGAATTAAAGTGGAGACAGACACCAAGGCTGACAAACAAAACTTGACTAACCTGATCTATAACAAGAAACTTGGCATTCTTCTGCCCTTTTTGTTGACGCTCCAATGGTACTCTTAAGTTTGCACTTGGGGTGTGTAAAACAATGGTGATAGTGGTGTAGCTGTTGTAACCTTGGCCTTTATGTTATTTGAACAGTGACCACTTTGCAATGATTAAGGCCAGAGGAGTAGGTTGGAAGTGACATTTTTAAAAAGAAATCTTCTCTTGAATGTATTGAAAAACTGCAGTGTTTGTGGAATTAATTTTAGTAAACCATATCTTTGACATAGTTAGAAAAAAGAAAAATGTTTTATCTTATTCTGTAATAATTTTGCTAAATGATTGGCCAGAGCATCTGTGTAATATCTTTAATCTGCTTTTATTCCTTTCTCTGTAGGTTGTTATATATGGGGATATACCAAAGAACAAAGAGAACGTGGTCTACCTGTCTAACCATCAGTCTACAGGTAATACATTTGAGTGTGCAGCTTTAAAAGCTTTAAAAACTCCATTGTGAAGCACAGTTTAAATATTCAGTCTTCTTTGTAGTTGACTGGATCATTGCTGACATGCTCGCCATCAGGCAGAGTGCTCTCGGTCATGTCAGATACGTCCTTAAAGATGGACTCAAGTGGCTCCCACTTTACGGATGGTATTTCTCTCAGGTAATGCAACTGTGTGAGTATTTCTATGTCATTTTTTTGTCAATTACAAATGTAAAGATGTAACTTAAACTTAAAACGCATCCCTCACTGCAGTTCCAATCATGTTGTCTTGCTCTTTCAGCATGGAGGAATGTATGTGAAACGAAGTGCAAAGTTTAACGAAACAGCAATGAAGAAGAAGCTTCTCGCTCAGACTGGAGCACCGGTTAGTACGCTTCATAAATATTGTAAATTAGTCCCTTCACTACATGCATATTTACTCTGAGGTAGACAGACCAGCTGCTGTCAAGTCACCACAGCCATAACTCTTTAGTGTCTGAAGCAGCAGGACTCAGCTGTGCATGCTCGTGATCTCTGTCAAAGCACAGGAAGCTGGTGGACTGTAAACAAAGCAAAGCTTGCATGGAGACCTGCTGTAAAGACTTATGGTCATTTGAAGCTTTTGAGGACAACATCTTTAACAAATATTCAGGTCTTGTGTTTCATAATGAAGAAACATCACCCAGTGCAGCTGTGTGCTCCACTGATGGTTTTAATCTTCTTGAACAACAACAACAGTGGTCTATGGCACAGATGAATAAGTTCATTCACGTTGGAGACTGACAGACATGAACTGCAGTTAGAGGCAATTCGCTGTTGGTTTTAATGTTTGTATGAGGAGTGTGGGAAATACTATCAATATAGAAAATAACCAACCTCATACTTTAAGCATTATATGTTCAGCACAGTGTTTTGGTTTCCTTTTTTCCCTGAGCAAATTTATAAAAGTTAGAAATTCCACTTTTACGGGTGCATGAGAAACAAAAAGTGAAAAGCTTTCATTTCAGGTGTTTTTCTTCCTTCAGATGTACCTTGTCATCTTCCCAGAGGGAACTCGGTATAATCCAGAGCTCAAGAATGTTATGGCTGACAGTCGGGCTTTTGCTGCAAAAGAAGGTATGATAGCAGCCATTTTACTGCTGTGCACTAATTCAGTACATTCCATTCAGTTTGTAAAACAGCTAAGTTTTGTTGCATGAAGCGTGTGTCACCCTGGCACCCTGCTGTTTCATCACTGAAGTTGATGGATTATAAAGTCATTTAACAAGGTGAAAATTATATAAAAAGAAAGAAACAAACACCATTTACTGATAATACAGCCTCAAAAACTAGGCAGAATTTTTGGCATAGCAGTCGGCAGAGGAGCGCAACACGCTGTGCTGCAACTGACCCAGCATTGGCAAGCTGGACTTATTATGTAGACTAATATGACATGCCTCATAGTTACAATGCCAACAGAAATGAAGGTCAAACCTTTGTGTGCTTACCATAGGACTTGCTGTTCTGAAGCACACGCTTACACCAAGAATGAAAGCATCACACATAGCAATCGAGACCATGAAGGGCCACCTGGACGCTGTGTATGACATCACTGTAGCTTACGAGGGAACGCTGGACACCTCCGGTCAAAGAAGAAATGCACCATCAATGCCAGGTAAGCAGGTGTCTGAAGATGGCCACAGACCTTTCAAAATGGGTTTCTGAAATGCGCATAGGCCATGCAGGAGTTTGTCTGTTGCATTCACATTTCCCTCACTTGGCTTAGTCTCTCCCACTGAAGAACCATGGAGAGAGGAAATGTGTTTAGACAAATGAGGTGTCCTTTTCTGAGAACTTTCATCTCAGGTGACACCTGCTTTTGATGATGTTACCACAGCAGAATATTTAAACATTAAGGCCTTCAGCTGATTGTCCTCCACAGAGGATCATCTCATGTATTCTCACTCAAGGCTCCTTAGAGATCCCTCCTGGTGCCTTGATCTTCTCTCCTCAGAGCCAAAAGAAGAGCTCTGGGACAGCCTTCAAGTTGGAGGACCGGAACAGAGGAAGTGAGGTGTAACCTTAGCCTTTACCTGCCAAATCCAGAACAATCTATTCTGCCCGGTCATTGCTCTTTTCCTGTAGTTTGCATTAGCAAACAGAAACGTGGTGAAGACTTCATGATAACATTCCACAGCATACCATAAGGAAACAAACACGTTGCAAATGCACACAGAATTCTTCTGGGCATCTGTGTATCCAGGTTCTCACAAGCATTGCATTACCAGTCCTGCGACATACAGTAGTGTGCAGCCCTTCACTTCTTAATCACATAGGAATCATCACCTTTTAATAGCCGTGTCTTCCTGTAAACAGCATAACTTTGTGTTTTGGAGTTTTTGATTCTGTGTTCCCGGTCCGGCGAACTCTGTTTGAACATTAAAAAACATCCTGTTACAGTCAGGAATAAACATAGATGTGTTTCTAGTAAACGGAACAGGGATTTTAAGAAGCATTCTCCTCGTCACGCACTTCTGGCCTCATGTGGCGAAGGTGACTCCAGTCATTCCACAGAGAGGTGGAAGTGACTCAAAGCTGCATTCAAGACTTTGTTACTGATGTTGTTGTTGTTTTGACATCAGAATGATATTATATTACTTTAGATATTTTTCATAGAATAAATTGTTAACAGCAGGTAACTGATAATTAGCTCCCAGCGTCTCTCTGGTAGCTGCTTGCTCTCTTTATGTCTTCTCTCAGATTTTCAGCTCCACGACAGTTTGGCAACAGGATTTAGATGCAGTGCGATTGTTTGTTGCTCCAAAGCACACAGTTAATTTCCTTCATCTATTCCAAGTTGTTGCTTTGGAGCATTGGTCTGCTCAAACACACATGTCCTACAAGAGAAGTTCAGCTTTCTTTTACTACTAGGTTCCACTGAGTTAGCAGTGTTTTAGAAAACCAGTGCATATTGTGTCTGAAGGCTGATTTATGTAGAGTGCAGCAGCTGATGGAGGTGCTCTTTCCACCAGTGAAGCACTCTTTCACTGCTGACTTCGATCAGGTTTCCTCTTTTGGCCACAGTGCCCAGTTTCCTGATAATATTGCATGTTGTGGAAACAGGAACTTGATGGTCTTTGGGGATACACGTGTAGCCTTGAGCGTTCACACTCCGTTACACTGTGACAGTTTAATTTGGCTTGAGACTTGACACTGAAAACTAAAAACATTAACACTTTATATGGTGATGCCGAAAAGTGACAGATAAAGAATATTCAAGTGAAAATGTGAATATTTATTTCAATTTTGGATATTAAATTGGACTTGACTGTGAGTTATGTAACCAATAAACTGCTGTACTTCCTGAATCATGGGGCCTTTGCATTACGGCATCATAGCAACTCTACTCCATCACTGTCACCTTGTTGATTTTGAAGCGCTCACTCTACGTGCGGTTTTGCTGAAAGGCTTTTCCTGTTTTTGTTTAGTCTTTATATTTTGTGTTTGACAGAATTCCTGTGCAAAGAATGTCCCCGAGTCCACATACACTTCGACCGTGTGGACATAAAGGAAATTCCTCCAGAGCCAGCAGTTTTCCGCAAGTGGCTACATGGTCGGTTTGAAATCAAGGACCGGTAAGTGTGTGTGTGTGTGTGTGTGTGGTTAAGTACACTGCTCAGCTATAACATTACATTATGACCATCTGCCTAATACTGTGTACACAGGAGTCAGTGCAGCAGGTGTTTGGCAGGTGTCACTCTGCAGCTCACTGTGCATCTTCTGTGAATCCATTTGCTTCTATAATTATACTGTCAGGAAGAGCACCCTTGCCATGTTAAATAATAAAAAGTGGTCATCTATGGAGCCTGACACTGAAAACACCAGCCATGCTACAAAAAAGCTCTGCATTTTGCTGTGACTGCTGTTCCACTGGGAACTTTTGTCAAACACACTTTTGTTTTGTCTCACTTTGCCGTTTCCCTTTTACTCCCTGTGTTTTTCGAAGGCTGCTGACGGATTTCTACGAGTCAGAGGATGCAGACAAAATATGCAGGTTCCCCGGTGAAGGCAAACGCTCTCCGCTGAACCTCTCCAAAACCCTCCCATCAATGATGATCTTGGGGGGACTGACACTGCCGTTACTGCTGACAGAGAATGGCAGGAGGCTGTACCTGAACACCTGGGTGTACGGGACACTGCTGGGCTGGCTGTGGGTGAATGTCTTTCCTTAACGAATAGGCTGAGATGCACAAAAGACAAAGAGGCAGTGCCGTTTTCCTGTATTACAACAATAAGGTGTGTTCTAGATGCAAAGCAGTATCTGAGAAGAGGCTCAGAGGTTGATGCCCTTTCTGGCTCACTGCTGACCTTAAGCTGAAAGGTGAACAGGGGCACAGAGAAATGTTAATCCTTGTGTGCTACATGTCCCTTGCCTTATTTGGAGTTGCAGCCTGAAATTATGCAAAAAAGAGTGGATTTTTTGAAAAGTGTTAGTTTTCTTAAAAATAAAACTACCCCTCGATCTATCTATGAAATAAAAACGGCTACGTTTCTATAAATAATTTCTGGCTTCATCAGTTTTATCAAATTAGCATCTTTGCATGCTCACATTTCCATCAAACATTGGCCAGTTTTAAATCTCCTCCCTGACATTTATTTCAAATTAGACGTGTTTTGAGAGTACTCGGCACAAAGTAAAGATTGTGGTCAGCTACTTTAAACTGATACTTTACACAAGCCTACCTATCATTAATTAAGTGCACTGACTGTGTGATATTGGTTGTAATGTTTTTTTTATGCAAGACCCCATGTCAGAAGAATTATGCATTTGCTTATTTAGAGTGATGTTTTGACATTAATAGAACGTTAATGGCATGTGGTCCTCTATAGGGGCTCATAAACATGACACCAGCTGCATTGTTCTTCATAAATATTCATAAGGATGTCACTTTCTTTTATATCGATAAATTATACTGTCAGGAAGAGCACCCTTGCCATGTTAAATAATAAAAAGTGGTCATCTATGGAGCCTGACACTGAAAACACCAGCCATGCTACAAAAAAGCTCTGCATTTTGCTGTGACTGCTGTTCCACTGGGAACTTTTGTCAAACACACTTTTGTTTTGTCTCACTTTGCCGTTTCCCTTTTACTCCCTGTGTTTTTCGAAGGCTGCTGACGGATTTCTACGAGTCAGAGGATGCAGACAAAATATGCAGGTTCCCCGGTGAAGGCAAACGCTCTCCGCTGAACCTCTCCAAAACCCTCCCATCAATGATGATCTTGGGGGGACTGACACTGCCGTTACTGCTGACAGAGAATGGCAGGAGGCTGTACCTGAACACCTGGGTGTACGGGACACTGCTGGGCTGGCTGTGGGTGAATGTCTTTCCTTAACGAATAGGCTGAGATGCACAAAAGACAAAGAGGCAGTGCCGTTTTCCTGTATTACAACAATAAGGTGTGTTCTAGATGCAAAGCAGTATCTGAGAAGAGGCTCAGAGGTTGATGCCCTTTCTGGCTCACTGCTGACCTTAAGCTGAAAGGTGAACAGGGGCACAGAGAAATGTTAATCCTTGTGTGCTACATGTCCCTTGCCTTATTTGGAGTTGCAGCCTGAAATTATGCAAAAAAAGAGTGGATTTTTTGAAAAGTGTTAGTTTTCTTAAAAATAAAACTACCCCTCGATCTATCTATGAAATAAAAACGGCTACGTTTCTATAAATAATTTCTGGCTTCATCAGTTTTATCAAATTAGCATCTTTGCATGCTCACATTTCCATCAAACATTGGCCAGTTTTAAATCTCCTCCCTGACATTTATTTCAAATTAGACGTGTTTTGAGAGTACTCGGCACAAAGTAAAGATTGTGGTCAGCTACTGTAAACTGATACTTTACACAAGCCTACCTATCATTAATTAAGTGCACTGACTGTGTGATATTGGTTGTAATGTTTTTTTTATGCAAGACCCCATGTCAGAAGAATTATGCATTTGCTTATTTAGAGTGATGTTTTGACATTAATAGAACGTTAATGGCATGTGGTCCTCTATAGGGGCTCATAAACATGACACCAGCTGCATTGTTCTTCATAAATATTCATAAGGATGTCACTTTCTTTTATATCGATAATGAATATGGCCAAAACATATTCTTGTTTATGCACATATGAAAGGGTCATTTTAGGGTTTTTAATTTCCGACCACATTAATGTCCAATCTAGGGCACATTATCGAGCAGTCTTGTCATTTCACTGAACACTGGCAGATGCCACAGTGAGCTCATATAGGGGATTGCATGTTAGAAATGAAAATGTTCTGCCAATGTAAACTATCACGTTAACCTTAAAATGCCAATTATCACCAAGCCCTGGTGTATTTGCCATGATGTTCTGCAAGTGTTTTCACTTGAGCAGTACTTGTTTTAATACCAGCTCTGTTAATAGCAAAGAAACCTAATGTGTTGTTTTTTTATTTTTGCCTTAATAATTACATTGTTATTGTTTTATTCATATTACATAAATTTGTTATGCATTTGTTACTTTGAATACAGCTCAAATGAAAGGATCTACCTAGCAAAAAGCTGACAAAGCCATGTTAACAGTATGTCACAGGTTCCTGTGCGCTCAAAGCCATTTGTGTTATAAGTATTGTGGAAATGCACTGGATGTCTGTTGTTGTTTACTGTTGTGAAAACATTGCCTTTTTCCACAGTTCACTTTACATCTTTTTCCCTGCTGTCCTCCTGAAGAGTTAGTCTGAGAGATGTTTGTTTCATGTAGATGTTAAAGCCTTGGTTTTTACATGTTGGGCAGATACTTCACTTGAATGAACCTTGTCAGACATTTTATAGCCATTTTTATCCTGACAGGATCAGGGGTCAGAGTGAAATAAAGTGGTTTTCTTTGGGAAGAGTTGTCTTTACTGTCCTGAACACATAATTTTACTGTATATTCAGTCACAGGCATAAGAGATGCACCAGTATATCTGCTAACTAATCTAGGTTTAAAAGGTAATCTGTGTCCAAAGGTAGATACAAAAATAAAATAAATTTGACTTTATCATTAAGGGACATAAATGGTGATTGGCGGGTTTAAATTTCTGTTACTATTACAGCAATAGTACTTTTGATGCAGGTTTATTAAATTTTATTTGGAAGAAAGATTCTGTTATTGTTAGGCCATCTACTTTCCCACTTTATCCGAGTCAGTGAACACAACACGACACAAATGGCGCATGCGTATAACGATTTATGGGCAGTGACAAGGAAGTGCAGTAAGAAGGGTAGTAAGTGCTGTTACGCAGTTGCAGTTGTTTGGACTCAAGGTACGTAATTAAACACACCAAGAAGAATAAAAATAAACTGTATATTGATAAGATAACAATACCTGTTTCGAAGCGTGAAGATACGATTGTCTGAATGCTTTTCTGATGTTTTATGTTTTAATCATTAAAGGGCTCACAGCGGCATCTAGAGGCTTTTAGAGCTACGTGCAGGTCTATTCACTGAAAGCACAACGCTGCTGTCCACGTTGGTGTTAAAGTCCATTATATCATTATATAATATCAGCTTGCTTGGATGACATTAGAGCATGGATGTCTACATTTTCCTAATGTCAGTGATTTTAAAAACTGAAATGGTGACATTTGGGTTTGTGAACAGCAGAACAATATCTAAAGTTAAATCCTTTCTTTCCTTTTCTGATCTCAAGAAAGTAATTCATGCATTTATTACAACATGACCTGACTGCTGTAACTCTCTGTTGCCCAGGAATTAGCCAGTCTTTGTTGCCTTGTCTGCAGATTGGGAGCAATGCTGTCACTAGGCTTCTTACAGGAAATCCTCATGTAAATTTGACCATATCTCCTCAATACTTACGTCATTTCATTAGCTCCCAGTCCAATTCAGGATTGATTTTAAACTTTTGCTATTTGTTTTTAAAGCATTTCATGGTTTGTTTGTTGAGAACTGCTATTTGTTTTTAAAGCATTTCATGGGTAGCACCACCATACTTCTCTGGACTTTTGAACCTCTACACTCCCTGCAGGGCCCTCAGGTCCTCTGACCAGATGATTCTGGTCATTCCGAGGTCCAGATTTAAACTCAAAGGGGACCATGCTTTTGCCGTTCTTGGCCCTAAGTTGTGGAATAGCTTACCACTACATATTCAAGTATCACCGAGGCTGGAATTGTTCAAGACTTGCTTGAAAACTCACCTTTTTTCCCCATTGTATTTAAACCAAGTTAGATACATTGTTTCTTTTGTGTATTGTTATTGTTTTTGGTTTGTTTGTGTGGGTTAATTGTTTGGTTGTTTCTTGATTTTTCTATTGTGTCTTATTATCTAGCTGACTGATGTGTAGCACTTTGGTCAACCAGTTGTTTTTAAATGTGCTTAAATACATTTTGATTGATTGACTGATTGATCATTTACAGTGGGTATGGAAAGTATTCAGACCCCCTTAAATTTTTCACTCTTTGTTATATTGCAGCCATATGCTAAAATCATTTAAGTTCATTTTTTTCCTCATTAATGTACACACAGCACCCCATATTGACAGAAAAACACAGAATTTTTGACATTTTTGCAGATTTATTAAAAAAGAAAAACTGAAATATCACATGGTCATAAGTATTCAGACCCTTTGCTCAGTATTTAGTAGAAGCACCCCTTTGAGCTAATACAGCCATGAGTCTTTTTGGGAATGATGCAACAAGTTCACACCTGCATTTGGGGATCCTCTGCCATTCCTCCTTGCAGATCCTCTCCAGTGCTGTCAGGTTGGATGGTAAACGTTGGTGGACAGCCATTTTCAGGTCTCTCCAGAGATGCTCAATGGG